GATGTGTCTCACGTGTCGGTCGGTCTCTGATTGGCTAAATGAGCACATTCAGAGCGTAGCTTCATTTAGTTGTGCATGTTTTTATAGCCCTGTCTGCCCCCCAAAAAGTATGCTCAACTCAGCATGGAAGCTGTAGTAAAAAAGCGTTTGGATTGTGGTGTCCGACTCGTTTAAGCATCCTGGCACCAGTCATGGGTATTGTCAGCGCTGTGCACGACTACCTTGTTTCTCAAATACCTGCAGGGCTGTTGATGGCTGATTGGACGAGGCTCACCCCGGCAGCACGGTGAACACATTAAATTATCCTAGAGATTACCGGGTGTCGGAAATAAAGACAATTAGCAATTCTTTGAGCATGATATCCTCTTCCAGCTCCCATTCACATTCCCTTAATCATTAATTCATGAACCTAACTGGCAGCGACTCCCATTTCCTTTTGTTCACTAGCCAACACTTTCACTGACACACGAGAGGGAATTACACATTAATGAAATCTCTTTTTTTTTTAAACTATTTTCTAGGACATCTGAAATGCTCTCAAACTTTTGGTAGGAAGCAGGAAATGAAATGTGAGATAATTAAAACATGGACTTAGTTTGCTTTCTTTGTCAGTGCACGGTGCAAAACAATCAGCCCACCAGCTGCTTCTGTTGCTTTGGTCTTTGATATCTGAAACAAAGCAAAAACTAAAGAAAGGAAGAATGAAGGTGTGAACCACATGTCACAATAGTAACCGTAGTTTTAGTACGTGGAGGTGGATCCCGGAGCCCTCCTCTGGGATTAGTGCTGTCGCACCGACGTGCACCCAAACACCCACCGTGCACAGGACAGAGATTAGTCTCACAAACAGCCGGCCCCGACTGCGTGAGGTTCAAAAGACTGAAGGAGCAGACTTGTGCACGAGTTTTAGTGCACAAGTCCAAACAACTAATTCAGCAATCTAAAAATAAACGATTGATTGAAAATAATCATTACTTGATGCCCTGTTCCAGTGGTTGCCAAACCTTTTCTGTCGAGCCCCCCTGTGATGACATAGGAACATTGAGGCTCACAAAGAAATAAGTGACTATAAGCATAATTGTGTTCCTATACTGCATGTTGGGGCGCAACTTATGATGCATGGTGAGTGGCAGAGACGAGGCTGTAAAAAGCCTCTTTTCACTCTCCTAGAACGTTGCTGTCGCGCACACACACACACACACACACACAAGCGCAGACGTTTTAACCACTTTTGACCTCCCGATCAAGTCAAGATTGCCTCTTGGACAGGTATCCTGTTGAACGGACAGGACGGAACGGAATCTTTTTCAGTACCGTAGTTAGGCTACAATAATAAATCTTAGAAAATCATAAAAATAGACTAAGTTCCATCCAGGTCCACAGTATCCACATTGAGGACAGACATGTCGATTTGCAAATATGGAGTGGAAAAAATAAGCACCTCTGAACAGTCCTTACAAAACTCAGGTGTTTTGAGGGGCTTTCAACTAACAGAAAACCAAAGAAAGCTCCACAGATAGAACATGATTAGTGTTTAATCAGGGAAAGTGTGTATAAGTAATAAATGATCAAGACTCCTTGAGCATCATTTCAAACATACTTGATTGTGGGAACAAAACATACAATTTAATAAGAAATGTGTTTTCAGCAAAGTTTAAGAAATCTTAAGTTAAACTCTATTTTTGGTGGTTGCTGGAGACGTGTACAGTAACATCAGTGTAAGCTGGCATTGTTTTCATTTGCTTTTTTCACATTTCTTTTTGGATGTCTTTTATACACAAACAAAAAGTCAAAAGCAGAATTGTTACTTCTGTGACGCAGAAAGGGTTTCTCTTCCTGCATAAAACACGACATGTTATGTCATCTCTCAGCGTATACATCTGCATGGGAAGCACACCACAAAAGCAAGTCTTTAAAATGACGTGCTGTTTGATCACAATGACATGTTAGTGTCAAGTTGTGACAGATGCGTGGTTTTGTTGCCAGCTTTTATCTTTTACTATTTCAAATAATTGTTGTACCTGGGACTGTTTTTATGTCCTGCTTCATACTTAAAATACTGTGGTTGTACAGAAACACCGCTGCCTGACTGTTTGAGGAAGACCGGTGTTGCTGCAATCTTTTGACAGATATACAATTTTTCTAGAGCTGCTACTATTCAGCAGTCCAACAGCAGCTTACGAAAATGTTAAAAAGTTGTTTGATGGTGATCATTTCTGACCTCCTGGTAGAGTACGAAGTGCCTCAAGGATCTATACTAGGACCACTTTTATTCTCGCTGAACTAAAATAACAGCAGCAAGATTATCCAATCAATTGATTTCTCCTCAACCCGATCTCATGACAAGGCGTGTAACTAGCATGATATTTCAGCATGTCAATGTCTGCTTCATTGGGTTTGTGTTGTAATATGGATTTTTCCACGATTGTCTGCTTACCGTGAAACAGTGACAGTTATGTTTAGGCAAAAATGACGTTTAGTTTAGGTTTAGGAAAACAAATTAGGGTTGGGCTTGAAATAATTAAAAACTGTAATGGCCTCCGAAAGATCATAAATAGAAAAATAATTCATGAATGTGGTTATATGTTGCATTCATTTTTGCAATAAAGTTTCACATTTTGTCCTATTGGTTAAAACAGTGTCTATAAATTATGCAGTGAACACTTTACTTTTTCCTTTACATGCTTATCTATGAGATTACTCTTGAATTTTCCCTCAACCAGAACTTGAAAATCCATTTGTTTGGCATTATGAGCAGAATTTTTTTTTATTTTACAAAAAATATATATATCCAAAGCAGTCCAACTGGAAGGCTTGTGTGTCACACATTGAATTTAACAATATAAAGACACCCAATATCTTGTTAAAAACTAAGGCTGAGACCTGAAAAAGATGAAGGAAGATGAAGTGAAGGAAAATGGAAGTGAAAACATGGAATGATTTTTATGAGTAAGGTTACATTTTGTGGCATCGCACGTCTCAAATGAATGATACTAGGATGCAAAAGGTCAAACCCTGATATGAAAGAGGAAGGAAAGGATAGCCTCTTAGAAGGTTTCAGCCTTCCATCTTGCATGTCGGAAGATGTCAGAGGAAACCTCAGTGTACTGGATGGAAATATCATCCGTCTTCAGTCGGAGAAGTTTCATTTGTGAAAATGTTCTTTTAACCATAAACTTTATATGAATTGCAATTATCTCTTGGAATATAGTGTGAAACTGTAGCACTAGCGACTGAGACACTGTTGTTTAATATCGAGCAGAGACTCCTTGTTACCCCCTAACTTGCCATGGAAACCGAACCATATACTCATCGAGCAGAACAATAGAATTTAGATCAACATGGATGAAATTATATGCATTCATCCACATGGAGCAGTTTCTTCAAAAAACGAATAATAATGAGCTTTGCATAATAGGCATTCTCCTCTCCCTCTTTTTTGAGTTACTCTGCATCAACTTTGCCCCGTCTCTGATGTTGCAAGGATGTGATGATTAGAGAGTAAGAGCAAAAGATGTGAAATAGCTTGTGAACCGGTATGAAACAAACAACACTTGTTATTAACTCCATTGAGCACAGAGGTGAAAAGACCCTCATTAATGCAACTGCCTGGATGTTTCCCCTCCAGAGTGATAGAAAAAAACGTTCAGATGGAATTGAAATGTTGTCGCAAAGCAGCTCAGTGTTGAATGTTTGCATCTGTATTAGGTAACAGTTGAACATCTGCCTTTGTGAATCTGTCTTTTTCACCTTATAAACAAAAACGTCACCACTTATTTTTTGGCTTCTTCCATACCTGTTGACCTTTTGACGTCTTTTGTGTCGTTGTTGGTTACTTTGAATACGCGGCTGTTAAAGGTCCCCCTGGATTTCTGTTTCACCCGGCCATCCGTTCTTCATGCCGCATTTCATCGTCCCTGTATTTGATCATCCGCATAAACAAGTTGACAGTAAAAGCCTGGCAGAAGACCCTGTATATATTCAAAGCATCACGGTGTGAAACATGACTGTTTGACGCTCATCTGCAGCCTAAATATAGCTCCTGGTTTTAGCAGAGGGTTAAATGTGAAGGTCAAGTTCTTGCCACCATTGGGCTGCAGAGACAACCCATGCTCAGGTAGTCTCCGGATACTATTTCTGCTGTGTGAACAGAGCAGTCCAACTGGATTTGTGTTTACCAAGACCGCATCCCCGCAAACGCGACAGATGTGTTTATTTGGAGGAATTAGCCGTTAGCTCATCTCCTTTCCGTCTTGTTTCCCAGCAGCTTTAGTTCGTCAGACGTGGTGGATTTTCCCCTCTAACTTAAATAGACAGAGGTGTTGGCGGTTTTATCGTGTCCTCTAGTGTGTCTAAGACCTAAATTGAGCCGCTTTGTGCTGCGAATGTCGAAGTAAATACTATAATCATGTCCATAATGACTCTCTTCAAGACAATATTGGAACTTTTCTTTTTTTCTGCTCTGGTCAAAGACCATTGACTTTGGACGGTCATTATCAAAGCAAGTGGACAAATGCACACAAGTTACAGAAACCAGAGAAGGCAGCTGTTTACATACATTTAGGATTATTGACGAGTTTGGATCATACTTATCAAGCCTCTTTGTCTGTTTGGTATTTGTGTGAAATAACTTGTTTGTTTGTGGCTGCTGGGTTAAGTTGAATCAAATGAGAGGAGGTTAACATTTGGGTGTAGCTAAGTTGAACTACTAGACTTTAGGTAGTTTAATCTCCAACATTTCCAACATAAAATACAATTACTTTTAGGTTTGTACTGAAGGACTTGAGTGAATGTATTTTGTTACTTTCCACTGCTGCAATTTACTTAAAAGTTGGAATTTTGAGTGTGAAAACGTGTGAACCCAAATGGGTGGATGATGATGGAGAGAGAGGAGGATTCACAGTTGATTTCTACCAACAGGCTACATGCATCGCACTGATTTGCTCCCCCCCCCCTCCCGCCTCTCCCCATTTCCCCTCCTTTCCTTGGTTTTGCTTCAGGGCTCATTACATTAGCAGCTGACGGCGCCGCACCATGCCGGGGATGAAGTGGAAGATGGTGGTGGACTCCCTGCGTGGACGGAGGAGGAGGCTGCCCTGCTCCCTGTGGTTCCTCCTGCTGTTCGCTGCTGGAGGTCTGGTTCTCTTCATCCACCAGCAGGACCTGTCGGAGATGGTCCTGCAGCAAGGCCCAGGTTGGTCTCGACTAAATCACCCTTATTAAAACCCTCGTCAGTAACATTTTCACCTCATTACTTCCCGTATTGTGTTGTTTTGCATCGGCTCTGACCAGTAGGCCGAGCTATGTAGCGGTGGTGTTTCATTGCTGCTCCAGAGGTAAGTGATGGAGCTGGTGGAGCCAGATGATGTGGTGTGACTGCATGTGGACCATGGCTTCCTAATGTCTGTGCCCAGCGAGTTGAGGCCGAGCATTCACTTACCAAATGAGTCCAAACCTTTCATCCTGGGGGGGTTGGGGGGTGGGGGGCGTTTGTCTGCTCAGCATTAAGGAGATTGGGGCTTAAGCAGCCGCGAGTGTCCCGAGCGTGTAGAACTAAGCCGCTTCACGTCTCAGGAACACGAGATGAGCCGCTCGCTGACGAGCGTCTCCGGGCTCAACCCGCGCTGCTCCTCCTGAGCCGGGGCGGGATTAGTCGCACGTTGACGGACGAGCGCCCGACGCGTCCACGACCACGAGGAACGCGATGGCGAAGACGTTCGCGTTCTCGCCTATTTTGCCAGAGGGGGGGGGGGGGCAACAGAAATGGCGGCCTCGATGCACTTTGCTCCCTCTACTCCTTCGGCTGGAACAACCGAGTCGAGTCGACGTTCACTCGGCTGTGTGCCAGACAGGTGACATCATGTGTGAAAACAAAACGTTCAGTACGGCACTTTTCTACCGCTCTTTTGCACATTAGTGACCTCATGGAATAATTTACTCAGTCAGTGATTAGAAAGGAGTGCTTTGACATTCAAACACGCACACTTTTGATGCTCAAAGAAATCTTTACTTGCGATTTGAATACGTTCACTGTGCTACTTTTAGATATTCATTCAGTGACAGGAGGTTATCTGATCCCAGGTCTGCTGGCGTCATCTTTTCAGACCAAATGACCCGTTACTGAATTGGAATTAGAAAACTGTATTAATCCCCAGTGGGGAAACTCATTTGCCACCCAAACATTCATAGAGTCACAGACAACAACGGACTCACAGACAAAATTAAACACAGAGCACAACAGGCAAAAAACACATTACAAGAAAGAAACAAAACCTTATAAAACATGACCAACATCAGGAAGACGCTGAACCTAAAGGTGTTCATTAAAAGAATCGAACCGCTGCTGGCATAAAAGACTTCAGTGGAACACTTAGGCATCCTGAGTCGCTCACTGAATGAGCTTCTGTCCATTAAAAACACCGTGTGGTGGATGGCCTTCAAAATAAAGGAGTGTTTTTTTACACGTCCTTTTCTTTTGTTCAGTTCAATTCTGCTCCAGGAAAAGCGGGTGTCTTAATATGGTAAACTTTTAAAACACACCTGGAGATGCAGCCCCAGGGCCGGCGACCATTTGGAACAACTAACAACTATTGGATCCATGATGGATGAACATACATAAACTACATATAAATTCTGACAATGCAATAGATCCGGATGGTCCACCGGTGATTTCTCGCTCCTCTGACTACTCGCGGTTTTTCGAGCCTGTTGTGCACAGCGTGTCTTAGAATAACTTTTGCAGCCTAAGCACATCCCCTTTTGCTTTTTATCTCGTCTGCCATGTCGCTCCTTGAATATCAGAGAAAGAATTCTAATTTTCTAAATCATGCATGAGGCTGTGTACGCCGTATACAGAACACAGCGGCCATACAGCCCCCCATCCCACACACACACACACACACACACACACCGTCCACACCGCCATCGCTAAAGCGCGACGAGCAAGCAGTAACTTTGCCTTAAGCTACGGCGCTTCACCCCAGCCGGAGCTCATATCTAATAGAGCTGAGTTATAATACATTGGGTGTCAGCTTTTATCTGCCTCCCCCTCCCTCTCCAGCTCTTTATTCTGCTCGCAGTGCGCTCGGGAGCTTTGTATCCCTCTGTTTAAATGGCCCGCACTGTGGTAGCTGAGAAAACACTGCCCCCCCCTCCCCCCCTCACATCTTCCTGAGGGCATTGTTTAAGGACAAATGGACGAACAGCGGGTTAAAGAGCAAGCAGTTTGGAGAAGTTCTCTGCACAAATTCACACCGCTGGGCTTTTATTTTCTAAGACGGCAGTGAGGGCTCACTGCAAAGGAACGTAAACCCCAACGTGGAGAAGTTGTTTCCTCATTACTTGTTTGCTATGGGGGGGGGCAGAGCGACTCCGAGGAAGAGATAATGTCACGCTGTTTGTTAAGTGCCGTAGACAAAAGTAGCCTACGTCATCCTAAGTGCATACTTTGCAGCATCGCTGGCCTCCGCTGGCTGTGGCCTTGTGGTTTGAACTGGGCTCACACATGAAAGACACACATTAACAAGTAAATACATCATTATCTTCTTGTTTTATTGAAATTGGCGAAAATACCATTTTGGTGACAAAGGTGTCGTCTGTCTTCTGAGAGAGATCTTCCACAAACCTTGAGCTATGTTGCTTCAGCAAACTGTTAAATACTCTTAATGCACCTTGTTCCTTGTTTTGTGTGCTTTCAAATGTTCTAATAAGTAGCCTAAGTGACTTAATAGCACAGCCTGGACTAAAGAAGTTAGTTTTAAGGACCAAAACTAACTCTTCTGATGGATCTCAGCGGAGAGTTTTAATGAACTGCCAAATTAAAGGAATTTGTTTGGTAGTTTTTTTTTTACTCATAAACTTTGCATTGAAAGTAAATAATTCAAATTAACTCTCAGTCTCAGTAAACTTTGAAGTTCAGTGAAAGATTCCAAAGGATGTGATTGGATGAGAATATAATCTGGTAGAAGTGACCGGTGTTTCCTCGTGATGTCCCACCCTGGCCCGGGCTATATATTGATATTATATCATTAGCACTGATGTTTCCTTGTCCTAGTTTTAAAGGCTACATTACGCTAAAACACAATTTTCAGAAATGACCTAGGTCATTAAATCCACATTATTCATGGATATTTATGAAAAAACACATTTTGTAGACATTTGGTAAAATGGTGAACCCTAAAATATTATGTGGCTCTTGAAGGTCGTCATTAAGTATCACGTGACTTAAAGCTTCTTGACTTTCTGTGCCTCCACTTCTCAATCGGTTGGTGGTAAAAGCAGAGAAAGGTTGATCAATACTTTTGATTTTCTTTCATGTCTATTCAGGCGTAATTGACTGACTCAATGAATGAAGTACACAACAACCAAGGCGCTCCTTCCCCTGCCAACGCCAGGTCACATTCAACCCCGTCACGCAGTCCGGTCCAATCGACTGCTAAGACATAGAAGGAGGAGAGAAAAAAGGGGCCGTATTGCAACATTTAGGCAGCGTGCCATACGGCGAGCTGGCAGCTGCAGAGGAAGCACGGGGTTCAATAAACCACGGAAGAAGACATTTTATAAGCTGTCGGAGACATGCAGACCAAACGTGGCACGCGGCGGAGAGGTTTGCTGGGGGGGGACATAAGCGAAGAAAAGCTCTGGAGATAAAACAATCCATAGATTGCCACAGGATTTTCTAACATGAGTTCCCTGGGGGCTGTGATCAAGCCAAGTTTGTCCTATAAAAATGGATCATGACGCTGTCCAGCGTTGGGCAGCTGGCCCCCTCCCCCCTCCACCTCTGTCCCCAGGAAGCGAGCATATTGTTTCATGCTCAAAGGTAAAATGTGCCCCCTCCGTCAGAGGTCCAGTAATCCCTTAAGCCTCGTCTGTTTGCAAAGTCCAATTTAGCCGTCTCTTAATGTAATTAAATTGTGCTGATGACCCTCGGAGTCTCAAATGCAAATCCCCCCTCTGGATTTTTTTTTTTTTTTGAGGGGGGCGGGCTGCTGTTTCCATCCTTTTGTTTGTGTGCACAAAGCTCCTTTAACAAAGCCGGTTTTCGGTTGTCCTGGCGCCCATCCACTCTGTTGCTCCCAGAGCAGGATGATCATTGGAAAGCAATTCTTGGCAAAGCCGACTCCATCACAGTGATTTTTTTTTTTTTTTCATCCAACCTTAAGTCCAATTTGCTCCCCTAAAACAAGAGGTATTACGCTCTTACCGACAAAGCACACCTCAACGGACATTTTAAGGCGGTGCGAGCTTTGCTTTCGCCATTCTGCTCAGTGTTTGGGATCACATGACATCAATGGCTTGGGGCAATGGGCATTTAGTATGAGCGTTTCCAGTGCTCGTCTATGGGAACAGAGGGAACTTCCCCACGTGGCCTCTGGGATCCCCTGAGGAGGTACAAAATAGAAAAAGAAGCCCATTCTCCCATGCGCGTGGTATCGGGTGCCTGCATCCGAGTCCCTCCAGCATCTTCCAGACTTGGGCCATGTCGATTGGATTCAAAACGGAGCCGCTCCAAGGCAAATGCAAGGTCATGTGGTTTCCCATTAACATTAATGCCCGGGGTTATGCCACCGGAGCCCTGCAACATGATCTGCTTTCCCTGCCAGCTGATCCTCGCTTGCCAGTGGCTCCCGTGTGCTAATCTATACAAATAGACTTTATTCTTTCCCGTTCCTGCTCCAGCGGAGGTCAGTGTGGAATAATATATGAACCACCAGAAAAATAAATGGAAAAGGGTTATTTTTACATCAGTTGTTGGTGGAAAAACCCCATCACACTGGTAGGTTTGTTTTTCAGTTTCTTTTCGATATTGTCGGAGACCAGAGTCCAAATTGGAATGGCTGTTCAGCCACAAATCACATTACTGCAGAGCGCTCCGCCGAGCTGCCCCCCCCCCCTGCAAAAAACTACTTCAAAACAGCTGTTCTTGTGCTACCGAGAAAACCATACCATTTGAAACCCATATCCATACAGTACAAGAGGAAGGCTGAGTGGAAGAGAGGTTGATTGAAAACCCACCATGCGCCCACCCAAAAAAAAAAAAAAGAAGAAAGATTGCTGTGATGTTTCTGCGCAGAGGCGACGACGCATCTTTTGAGGCGCCGACAAGCACGCAGGGTTAGGACCCCCACCGGGCAGAGGAGCACAGCCTGGCTGTCCCGCTGGGGGAGGGAGACGGGGGAGTGTAGATTCAAG